TTGATAGGGATTGTATTGAATTTGTGTATTGCTTTGGGTAGAATTATCAACAATGTTAAGTAGTTTTCCATGTACAAGTCTTGCACCTCTTTGGTTAAATTTATTCCCAAGTATTTTATTATTTTTGATCCTATCATAAATGGAATTTTTCTTGTATAGACAGCTAATTTTTTGACAAAGGCAATTTAGTTGAGAAAGATAATCTTTTCAATGGATGGTTCTGGAACAATTGGATGTCCACATGCAGAAAACAAAAACAAAACAACACACACACACATGAAAGAACTTTAATCCATACCTCATACCATATAGAAAAATTAACTTGAAATGAGTCATATTCCTAAACATAAATTCAAAACTATATAGTTTAGATTTCCAGAATTTCTAGAAGAAAACATAGGAAACTTTTTGTGACCTTGGGTTAAGCAAAGATATCTTAGATATGACACCAAAAAATGCTCCATAAAAGAACAAATTAATAAACTGGACTTTATCAAAAATAAAAACTACTTTTCAAAAACTACTATTAAGAGAGACTGAAAAGACAAGCCACAAACTGGGCATATATCTGATGAAGGAGTTTCTTCAGAATGTATGAAGAAGTCTCAAAATCAATAATAAAAAAAAACATTTAAAAATGGGCAAAAGATTTGGACACTTCACCAAAAATATATATACAAATGGCAAATAAGCACATGAAAAGATGTTCCCCATTATGAGTCATGAGGAAAGCACAAATTAAACCACAATAAGGTAGTATTACATATCTATTAGAATCATTAAAATTAAAGAGACTGAACATACTAAGTGCTAGCAATAACATGGAGTACCCGAAATTCTCATACATTGCTGGTGGGAATGTAAAAGGGTACAACCTCTTTGGAGAAGTTTGGCAGTTTCTTCAAGAGTTAAACATATACTTACCACACCTACTACATGATCTAGCCATTCAGCTTCTAGGAAATTACCCAAGAGAAAAGAGAGCATAGGTGCAAAGATTTGTGCATGAACATTTATAGCAGCTTTATTTGTAATAGCTCCCAACTGGAAACAACTCAAATGTCCATCAACAGATAAATGGACAAACAAATTGTAGTATATACATACTACTCAGTATAAAGTGAAATGTGAAATGAAGTAAAGTGAAAATACTAGTCAAGCAACAAAAATGAAAGAACTATTGAGGGGCACCTGGGTGGCTCAGTCATTTAAGCAGAGTTAATTTTTCTATTTGTTGGCAAGGATGTGGAGAAAGGGAACCCTCCTACACTGTTGGTGGGAATGCAAGCTGGTGCAGCCACTCTGGAAAACAGTAATGGAGGCTCTTCAAAAAGTTGAAAATAGAGCTACCCTATGACCCAGCAATTGTACTACTGGGTATTTACAAATGTAGTGATCTGAAGGGGCACCTGCACCCCAATGTTTAGAGCAGCAATGTCCACAATAGCTAAACTATGGAAAGAACCCAGATGTCCATCGACAGATGAATGGATAAAGAAGACGTGGTATATACATATATATATATGTATATATATATATATATACCTACACAGTATATACACATATATACACTGGAATACTATACAGCCATCAAAAAATGAAATTTTGCCATTTGCAATGACATGGATGGAACTACAGGGTATTAGGCTAAGCGAAATAAGTCAATCAGAGAAAAACAATTATCATATAATCTCACTGATATGTGGAATTTAAGAAACAAAACAGAGGATCATAGGGGAAGAGAGGGAAAAATGAAACAAGATGAAACCAGAGAGGGAGACAAACCATAAGAGACTGGTTTTTGTGCACGTATGTATGCACACACACGCACACACACACACACACACATTTTTTAATCATGTTAAGGAAACATCCACTGATTTCTACTTCAATGAGATTTTAAATCAGAAATGGATGTGAATTATGACAAATGTTATGGTATTATGGCAACCATGGAGATGATCGTGATATTTCTTATTAGAAATATTATTATAAATTATGTTCATGGATTTCCTAATATGGAACCATTATTTCATTCCTGTAATGAACATCACTTGGTCATAATGTATACTTTTTAAAAAAAAAGATTTTATTTATTTATTTGGCAGAGAGATAGAGAGAGAGCACAAGTAGGCAGAGTGGCAGGTGGAGGGAGAGGGAGAAGCAGGCTCCCCGCCAAGCAGGGAGCCGGACGTGGGGCTCGATCCCAGGACATCAGGATCATGACCTGAGCTGAAGGCAGACGCCCAACCAACTGAGCCACCCAGGCACCCCATAATGTATACTTTTTAAAATGTGTTGTTGGATTCTATTTGCTAATATCTTATTTAAAGATCTTTGTATCCATATTCTCAAGTAAGACAGTTCTGTTGTTTTATGTGTGTATGCAATCTTTTTCATTTTTTGCTATCAATGTTAAGTTCATTTCATAAAAAATGTATTTATTTTTTAAGAAGATTTTATTTATTTATTTGAGAGAGAGAAGCAGACTCCCCACTGAGCAGGGAGACTGATCATAATTTTAAAAGTCTCCTTTTTCTATGACCCAGAATATTTGAGTAGAATTAAGATTATATTTAGAAAAGCCATTTATGTGATGGTTTGAGTTGTGAGCTGAACTAATCACTTATTTTATGGAACACCATTTTTACTTGAAAGAACAACTAACAAACTATAGTTATATAGTGATGGGTATTTGGTAGACATTTTCTCAAAAATAAAATGAGCTGTCACTTCAAGAAAAACAGTGACAGTATTTGTTGCCAATGATAAAATTTAAGCTTTCAGACAAAAATTAGAATTTCGGAAAACTTGTATCTGCGACTGTGAGCCTGACAACTTCCCAATATTCAAAGATTTTTCTAATGACATAAGTAGTAATATTAACAAAAATAATTTTTAAAAATTATATAATAAAATGTGTCAATATTTATTATTGTATAATGAAATATGTCAATGTATATAACTCAGTGAACCGATATTTTCTAAATGACTGGTTTCGTTTAACATAAGATGTTACACATTCATTAATATGGTGTTAGATCCCACATCACAACTAGCTTTTAACAAACTCCCACTTGAATTTTGGTGGAGTGTCAAAGAAAATTTTCACAATTACCTGAATAGGCTATTAAAATACTATTGCCTTTTCTAATTAAATTTTTGTGTGAGCCCAGATCTTCTTCACACATTTCAACCAAAACAACATACTGCAACAGAATGGATGTAGAAGCAGATGCACAAGCCCAGCTGCTTTCTATAAAGTTAGATAGTAAAAGATCATAAAACTGTAAAACAATGCCACTCTTCTCACTAGTTTTTATTTTGGAAAATATAACTTTTTCATGGGTTATATTACTACCTAATGGGCTTATTATTATTGTTTTCAAGTGAATTAATAAATATTTTTTAAATGTCTTGGTTTGAATCGCCAATACCATTAATACTGATAGATACAATCCACATAGACAAAGGTTTTTTGGGAAGAGGGTCTTCAATAATTTTTAAAATGTAAAGGAGGTCTGAGGCCAAAAAGTTTGAGAACCACTGCTTAGTGGAAAGCTCATATTCACATTTTTTGTCAGCAGTCTTTATACTCGAACACAATGTAAGGAGAAACAAAGTTCTTGGATCATATTTTCTTTGTGAAAATCTTGAAAATGCTGCCTCATTGCTTCTAGAATGAAGTGCTGTTGTAGAGAAAGAAGTCTGATGTCAATATACTTTTCTTCCCCTTATAAGTGACTAGTACTTTTTGTCTGTATGTTCAAAGGGGTCTTTCTTTATCTTTAAGACCAATCATTTTATTAGAAAATGTTTTGGTCTTGCGCATCTGGGTGGCTCAGCTGGTTAAGCATCTGCCTTCGGTTCAGGTCATAATCCCAGAGTCCTGGGATGGAGTCCCACACCCCACTCCCTGCTCAGCGGGGAGCTCGCTTCTCCCTCTACCCCTCCCCCCAGCTCGTGATCTCTCTCTCTCTCAAAAAATTAAAATCTTAAAAAAAAAATGTTTTGGGGGCGCCTGGGTGGCTCAGTTGGTTAAGCAACTGCCTTCAGCTCAGGTCATGATCCTGGAGTCCTGGGATCGAGTCCCGAATCGGGCTCCCTGCTCAGCGAGGAGCCTGCTTCTCCCTCTAACCCTCCCCCCTCTCATGTACTCTCTCTCTCTCTCTCTCTCTCATTCTCACTCTCTCAAAATAAATAAATCTTTTAAAAAAATATTTTGGTTTTGACTGTTCTGGGTCAGTTTTCTCCTATATACGGTGTGCCCTTTAGATATGCAGACTTAAGTCTTATTTTATTTCAGGAAAATTTGTTCCAAATTTTGTTTTAAATATTTGTTCTACTACATTGCTCTCTGGTTTTCCTTGGAGGAATAAATGTGTTTGAGTGTGTGTGTGTAAAATTTCTTTTGCTTGTTTTCTGTATCTATCACTTTCTCTTAAAATATTTTACTTTTTTTAAAAGAAAAACTATTCTTTCAGCCATTAATTGTGTTTTCTCATTCTTTTATTTCTGAAAAAAGTTATAAATTTTTTCCTGAGATTTGTTGGTTCTTATTTAATATATTCTCTATCCATATCACTTTTTAGCTTTTTTTCTGATTTATGCTATTCTTTCAAAATATCCATTATTTTACCTCACTAAAAAGTGGTTGAAATTTTCATCTGCTCTGTGGCCACATTTTTCTAGTATGTTATTATCTATAGGAATATTATTAGGTTTACTCTTACCTTGTTTCCCCAGGAACTTGTATGGGATTAGGCCATATGCCTCATTTGTTCCCATTCTTAAACAAGGTAAATCTTCCCCAACTATCAAGAAGAGGCACCCTTGCCTCTCGCCTGCTACCGCGAACCCAACTTTCCAGCTTAGTACGCGGCCGTGGGCTCCGCCCACGCCTCACGCACGCCCCGGGCCCCGCCCACTCAGCCCCCCCGCCTCGAGCCCCGCCCACGCCTCTCACGAGCAGTCGCGGCCACTCCCAGCCTCTTGCTTCTGGCTGGTGCTAGGCTTGCTGTGTATTTTCCCGCCATTTCCAGCTCTTCGTGAGGAGAACTGGATGATTTCGGTGAGATCCGAGGGCCTCTGAGATCGTGGCGCCCAAGCGGGTAGGGAATGTAGCTAGAAAAGAACTAGTGGTCATGAGACCGCTAAATCGCCATCACCTCTAGAAGTCCCGCAAGTCTTGCCCTCACAAGCCCTTAACTGCCCTTCTTGTAAGGGGTTTCCTGTGGACAACTCATTTGATTAACACTGTTGTCGCTGCCCTTTTACAAAGCAGGGTATATTTAGTGGGGCCTTTTCAGTAGTTCTTCAGACTCACCTCCTGGTAGAAGTTAGTGTATTGTGAGCAATAAACCGAAATCTAAAGCTCAGGGCCCTGTATAATGCCTTTGCATTGAACTGATTATTCAGCAAGTTTTTATTGTGAATCTTGTTTTTTGTGACAAAAATGTTAAAGTGTGGTGCAAACTAGCCATCATTTTTTTAGCGAACCTCCATAAGCTGCTTAAAAAACGTTTTTAAAGAAAAGACCTAGGTGGAGAAGAAAATGTTACCTTCTGTTTGGGTTATTTTCCTAATGTAATTTTAAAGGAAATCAAACTAATAGATACTATATTCTTAAATAACACATTCATGGAACAAAACATGTGAATTCATTATATGTATAAACTAATTACAGCTCAATATGTTTCAGCTCACTTACGTTTTTTTAATGTGTTAAAACGTGGGTTTTTTTAATGTCAATTTTTTCATTTAAAAATCTTTTTAATGTTTTGTAATATGTCAATTTCTTCATTTAAACATCTTACAAAGTCACATTTACATAATTATGTATCTCACCAATTATATGGATGGGATTAGTATTGGCAGAAAATACAGGATGTATGGTTGCCCTCTCTAACACAAAGGCTTACTTGATGTGGTAGCAAGAGCCTGACACAGGGAGTAAGAAGACTTGAGTTCTAATCCTAGAGCTGACGTTAACTAAAGATGGAACTTTGGACAAGTCATTGAATTTCTGTGAACATCCAGTATATCTTTTGAAAAATGATGGGATTGGACAAAATGTTAAATGATTTTTGAAGCCCTTTCCAGATCTATGATTCTGAGTGTCTGTAGAGTAGGAGGGAAAGTGTACAAGCTGAGGCAACACTATCATTCACAAACCATGTTTCCCTTAGATAAAATATGTCCTGAGTGGCTAATATGAGATCTATTATTTGGTCCACTATTTCTTCCTTGTTCCACCTCACTGTATCACAGGGAACTATTAGGAAAGAAATGGATGTGTTTGGTTTTTTTTAAGATTTTTTTTCTGATTACAAATTAGTACATGAATTAATCCAGAAAACTTGGAAAACAAAAAAAATATAAAGGTCACACACACACACACACACACACACACACACACAAATACCCATCATCTTACCATTCAAAAAAAAATCTCATTGTCCCATTACTTTTCTAAATATATATGTATTTTTTCTTTTTTAAAAATGGTATAACATAGTTTGTGGTCTGCTTTTTTTCACTTCAGAGGTGTATGTACTTCCATACAACCAACTGGAATACCCACAATAATAGTGCCTATATCCCCAAAAGATAACAGAAGCTAAGCAAACATTGTTACATAGATTTTGGAACAGCTATAATTATATTATGCTCCAGGTTATTTTTCCTCTTTCTCTTTGTTCCAGAATGGATTGGTTTCACTGCAACCAGTGTTTCCGAAAAGATGGGGACCATTTCTTTGTCACCAGCTGTGGCCATATTTTCTGTAAAAAGTGTGTGACTCTGGGTGAGTGCCTTAACTGTTTTCAGATTCAGGCAAAAATGTTTTCAATCTAGAAATAATGATTAGCCATTTCTCTGTGTGACTTGGGATAAAAATCACATATTGGGCCAAAGTTAGTATGGATACAGTAGGAAGCCATTGATTATGGACATTTGAGGCACCCATTAATAAAGAATAATTTAGCAAATGGAATATCTAATACTTGAACACCAAAAGTACTTGTCAGTGTTTTGAGACCTGTGACAGGGACAACCACAGGTTATCAGACTAATTAGAGAATAGAGAAAAAAATAAGTGTAATGAATAGGAATTGGGGAAAGTTTGGTTGATAACAAGAGTCATTTCTGATGGGAAGGGGTCTAGCCTGTGAAATCAATTTGATTAGAAATGATGATGATGATGATGATAATGGTGGTGGTGGTGGTGGTGGTAGTGATACATTTGCAATTTAAAAAGTATTTTCCAGGGAGCCTGGGTGGCTCAGTCGGTTAGGCATCTGCCTTCAGCTCAGGTCATAATCCTGGAGTCCCAGGATCAAGCCCCATGTCGGGCTCCCTGCTTTGTGGGGAGTCTGCTTCTCCCTCTGCCCCTCACCCCACTCGTGTTCTCTCCCTCTCTCTCAAATAAATAAAATATTAAAAAAATAAAATAAAATAAAAAGTATTTTCCAGGGGCGCCTGGATAGCTCAGTCGGTTGAGCGTTTAACTCTTGATTTTGGCTCAGGTCATGATCTCAGGGTCCTGGGATTGAACCCCAAATTGGCTCCCTGCTCAGCGGGAAATCTGCTTGTCTCCCTCTCCTTCTCCCTCTGCCCCTGTCCCCGCTTGTGTTCTCTCTCTCTCTAAAATAAGGAAATAAATCTTTAAAAAAAAATAAAAAGTATTTTCCACATGTATGAATTTTATGTATCCTTACCACAGTCCCAGGAGGTAGTTATTAGTAGACCCATTTACAAATGAGGAATGGTTCAGATAGGATAAGTGATTTGACCAACTTCTTGCAGCTATTAAGTCTTAGAAATGAGACTTGAATTTAAGGTTTTTTTTCATGCTAAAATGCATACAAGGTATAGAAATAGCCCAGAAGAGGGACTTAGGATAGGGTGCTTTGATCAGGGAAAGATTTCTTAGAAGAGCTGTTGCTTCAGTAGAGTTTTGAATAATAAACTGGAGTTGCCAAGTGGATAAGGCAGGGAAGATCATTCTAGTTTAAGAGAACAGTATATATAAAGGCATACCACATTATAAACCCTTATAAACCCATAGTGCAGGGGGCTACACATCATTAGGATTGGTAGAGCATAGAGAATAAAGTAAGAAATGGTTAAGAGATGAGGCTAGAGAGGTAGGCAATGGACAGATGATGGAAAGTTCTATATACAAGACTGAAGAGCCTGAACTTTATCCTGCAGGTGATAGAGAGTTGGGGAAGTTTCTTTGTTTTGCATTTTGTACTTGCTAGCTCAATCTGGCAATAATATGGAGGGAAGACTGGGAAAAACCTTTAGTCCTCAAGGAAAGAAGAGGGAGGTTACTAGCCTCTGGAGAAGCTTTTTTTTTCTTTATATGGATCTCGTGACCCTTTTAACTTATCTGCTAAAGTAAAAAAACTGTTTACTATGGTAAAAGCAGCTCACCTTGGAGAGGTTTGTCTCGGTGAAGCCTGTGTCATGTGATGTTTTCTCTTGATGTGGCATTTATCTTAACCAATAACCAGCACCGCTACCAAAATTTAGAGAAGGATTAGGAATTTTAATTTTTACATCTTTCAGATTGGGTTAATTAGAGAATGAGAGCAGGAGAGCTTCAAAGCAAGTTCCGGGAATATTAACAAAGTGAGAACAGGGCAGGAATAATTGGGGAGTTTCTTATAGTATCTACAGTGTGCCTACTGTCGGGTAGATGGGGAAAAAAAAGAGCAACCTACAGTTGAAACCATTGGTACTCTTGTGTTCTTCCTAGTACTCTCATAAGTTTACTCTAGTACTTTTGCTGCCCCCTCATCTGCAGAAGAAAACTGGGAATTCATAAAGAGGAGATGGGCAGGGACGCCTGGGTGGCTCAGACAGTTAAGTGTCGGCTTGGGTTATGGTCTCAGGGTCTTGGAATCAAGCCCCATTTCGGGCTCCCAGGTCAGTGGGCAGTCTGCCGGAGAGTCTGTCTCCCTCTCTCTCTCCCTCTGCCCCTCCCCCAATGTGTGCACTCTCTCTCTCTCAAAATAGATAATAAATCTTTTTTTAAAAAAAGAGATGGGTAGAGCTACAGTGTGAAAGCCGTACTTGTCATCAACATACAAGTTTGGAAATACTGATTTTGAGAACAGAGCTCAAGATGATGTCCTTTATAGTACAAAAATATCCTAAATTCAGTAAGAACCTGTTTCTTGCTAGCCTACTTGACAGTTACCATGTACTTTAGGAAGATCTTACCTCTTGCCCGTAAGAACCAAACTTTTTTTCCCTTTCCCCCTAGAAAAATGTGCTGTTTGTGGAACTGCTTGCAAGCATCTGGCTCTTTCTGATAATGTAAGTTTTTCTCCCCCTGCCACAAACTATCTTATCCCATTCCTGGTCTGTAGGAAGTATACAAGGAGTACAGTTAATGAGTGACTAAGCACTGAAATTTAAAAAAAAGAAAGAAAAGAAACAAAACTCACAGATAGCAATTGTAAAAAAAGGGGGAAGGGTTAAACAACAGATAGAATTGTTTGTGGGAGGCTGCTATAGAAGCATGAGGTAAGGAAGATTAGAACGTAAAATCGACATCTCCTAGGACAGTGGTGAGCTTCCTCATACTTCGCATAGTGGAATAATACCAGATGCTTTAAAAAGAGTGATACAGCCTTTGCCATATTTGTCAGTATCTTATTTCATTCCATTGTGGATATGCTCAGTGTTTGTCTTAATCTCTTCATAGCTGAAACCTCAGGAGAAGATATACTTCAAAAGCCCTGTGGAGACAGCTTTGCAGTATTTTAGTCACATCTCTCAGGTATGAGAAACAAAAATGAAGAAAATCAGATTCACCAGGCAAATTCTAATTGCATCTTTTTTTTTTTTTTAAGATTTTATTTATTTATTTGACAGAGAGAGACACAGCGAGAGAGGGAATACAAGCAGGGGGAGTGGGAGAGGGAGAAGTAGGTTTCTCGCCGAGCAGGGAGCCCGATGCGGGGCTCGATCCCAGGACCCTGGGATCATGACCTGAGCCGAAGGCAGACGCTTAACGACTGAGCCACCCAGGCGCCCCTGCATCTTATTTTTTTTAAATCAAAGATTCTCTTTGATTTATTTGTACACAGTATTTTTGTATTTGTACACAATGGAGAGAATTGACTGTTCATTTGCTTTCTTACCTAATGATACAAATCTCAACAGTTAACTTTTTTACTGACCCCAAACCTGTGATAGACTGTAAAAACCACTATGTAGCTGATATCTTGCCTTATACTTCTTGGTTCTATTAAATAATTTTTAAGAATAAAGAAGGCTCTAGGGATACCTGGGTGGCTCAGTTGGTTGAGTGTCTGACTCTCGATAATGGCTCAGCTCATGATCTCAGGATTGTAAGATCAAACCTCCATCTGGCTCCACACTGGGCATGGAGCCTGTTTAACATTCTCTCTCTCCCTCTCCCTCAGCTCCTCCCCCCACCCCCAAAAAAGAATAAAGAAGGTTCTAAAAGCTTTATCATCTTTCTGTGCAGTCTAATGAATCTTCTAAAAATTGCTTTGGATATATAGGCCTGACCCTGTAGTCAGTGGATTTAGTGGGCTAGCTCTCAAACTTTTGCTTAAAGACCTATGTTCAAGATGGGATTTCTTGTTCCCCAGTCTCATTTTTCAGTAATCTTTTTTAGTAATGCGTATATATTTAATTCTTTTCGTGTTTAGAATTGGTTGCCTGAATTTTAGAAAATATTTTTCTTTCCTGATGCATCATATGTTTGCATACCATTGACTTGGTCAAGAGCAATAGGAATGTGGTAGGAAGTGGAGAGAAGACAGAATAACCATTTGAGTGTTCCCAAATTGTAAAAACTTTGGTTTTCTCCTTCCACTCTCCAGTTCTCCACTGAGATTATTTTATAGTTTAATGGGATTTCTATCTTGGTATGTTTCTTGAGAAATTTTATCACTGTTTTTTCTTCTGTACTCTTACTTCTCATTCTTAGAAGAGTAGTCCTTTCCTTAATGTGAAGATGATCCTTTGTCATGTTCTGGCTGAAGATAGTAGATTTAATTTTTTGTTGGTGTCTCACCCTTCAATCCTAACTCCGGAAATAGAGGAAGGGGAATTAAAGCTTTCGCTGCATTATGCTTTTAGTTGCTTGGGTGAGCCATCATATTTGAGATACTATTTAACATTATGGGGAGATAAAATCTAGCTGAGACTCAAGGAGAAATGTAAACAAGGTCACGTGAGCAAGAGAAAGAGCAGACTTTTGGTTAATAACTAAACTCAGGATTAGCTAATGATCAGTAGAGAAATTATATGTAGTCTGAATTCTAACCTGCCTAATCAAGAGACCAATTACACATGGTCAAATAATCAAGATAAAATAAATGGAAAGTGTCAGTTAATCATCACCTTAGTGAAGGGCCAGTTTGGTGAAGTCAGCAATGTCTGAAAATGTGTTTTCCTAGTCTGTGAAGTTGAAAAACTGATCCAAATAATATCTAGATTTCCTCATTCAGGCCTCAGCTCAGATTTTTCTTTCTCAGTCAGACCTTTACTGACTCTCATATATCAAATGGTAGCCCCAGCACTGTCTAATTCTTACCCTGCTTTATTTTTCATTATAACTCTTATCTCTAACATATACTTATTTATTGTCTGAATCCTGCACTGGAATGTAGCCTCCATAAATTCAGAGATTTGGTAGATTTTGTTTGTTGTTATACACCCAGCTCTTTGGATAGTTCTTAATATGTAATAGACACTCAAAAATTGTTAAATGATTGAATGGCATATTGATCTAAATATCCACTTGTGTTTTAATCATCCCAGATCTCTGTAATGACCTGCCAAGGACATTTTTCTGCTGTACTACTCCATGGCCAATAGTTAAAACTTCCTGTTTTGAAATCTTTACTCACCTCTAGATAAAACTATCTAAGTATCTTTGGGGATTAGAGAGCCTCCTATAGGCCTGTGAGCTTTCCTCTAATCCTAGGTCATAGACTGCACCCTTATCCATAACTAGTCATCTTTCAAATGCATCCAGTAATTGTTCCTTCTTCAGTAAAACCTTCCGTGATTCCTGTAGGCAGATATTTGCACTGTCCTTTGTAATCCTATAACCCTTGCTCTTTCTTACCTCTGCAAAATTGTTTTAATTTATTTGTTCTTATGTCTGTTTCTCTCACTTAACTGAAACTTTTGAAAGGCAGGTATCAACTTTGTATTGCCCAATGGCCAATGAGGTACCTGGCACAAATTAAGTGAATAAGAAATGTTTGTTAAATGAATGAATGCACATTAAGGCTGGGAGGGAGGTGGAAATGGTTCAAGGTGAGGTCAGAGAGAGAGGCTTGAACCTATATATAGGGACTTGTAGGCCATGGTAAGGAATTTAGATTTTCTTCTAAGTCACAGTGGACACCCCTGAAGGGTTTTAAGCACAGAAATGGCATTATCTGATATATAATTTTAAAAGGGAATCTGGCTGCTGAGTGGAGAATGGACCATAGAGAAGTTAAGAGTAGAAGCAGGGAGACCACGTAAGAGGCTATGGGAGAAATCTAAGTAAGACTTCTTGAGCTAAAGTGGTAGGAATAGAAATGGAGAGGGGCAATCAAATCTGAGATGTTTTCTAGGAAGAACTGGTAGAACTGTTGTTGATTTGGATGTGGAAGATGAGAAAAAGAAAGGATTTGAGGAAGACATCTGGGTTTTTGTCTTGAGCAAAACAAGACAAATTTATGGGATAATTATACTCTTTACCATGGCTGAAAAGACCTTTTGAGGGAAAATACCATTTTGGATGTATTAGGTTACAGATGCTTGTTAGGGTTCCAGGAGGAGAAATCACAAAGGTGGATAAAGTTACTATTCTGAAGCTGAGGGCACAGGTCAAGGATAGAGATATAAATATGGAACTCATTAGGATATAGAATGTTCTTAAAGCCTTGGGACTGAATGAGATCACCCAGGGAAGGAGCCCCTTCAACATTTAGTGATCAGGTAGAGGAGGAAGAGAAGTTAGCAAAGAGTAGCAGTGAGTGAGTGGAAGCAAGGAGAGTATGGTATCACAGAAACTAAGAAAGGGAAATGTTTCAAGAAGGAAGAAATGACCAGCTGGGTCAAATGTTGTTGAGATATGAAGATGAGGGCAAAGGAGGGAGGACTGAATTTGGCAACCTGAGGATTATTGATGACACTCACAAAAGCATATTGTGGAGAATCTTCAGAAAGAGAAACACATTGGAGTGCATTGGTAGGTATGTGTCTACATTCTGTTCACTTCTTCACCTCCCAAACCTCTTCTCAACCCTCTGCAATCTGGCTTCATTTAGACTATCTCACTGAAATTGTTCTTGCTAGGGATATTAACAGCTTCCTTGTTATCAAACCCAATGGATACTTTTTTGTTGTTGTTACCATACTTGATTTCTCAGCAGCAATCTAGGCCCACTCTCTCCCCCTTAAAATATTCTTTCTTTGGCTATTGTAACCAACTTTTCTCTCTTTTGTAGTTATCTTCCTCTGTCCATCTCTTGAATAGTTATATTTCTCAAGTTCTATACTAGACACTTACACTCTCCATGGATAATCTCATCTACTCCCATGCTTCAGTTATCATCAGCATAGGGATCACTTCCAATTCTATTATGTCCAGTAAAGATCTCAGCTTAAATGGAGCCTTCTCTGACTGCTGTATTTAAAATGGGTACCTCCCCTTTATGCTCTGTCCTAGAGACCTTTTTTTTTTTTTAAAGATTTTATTTATTTATTTGAGAGAGAGAGCATGAGAGAGAGCATGAGAGGGAAGAGGGTCAGAAGGAGAAGCAGACTCCCTGCTGAGCAGGGAGCCCGATGCGGGACTCGATCCCGGGACTCCAGGATCATGACCTGAGCTGAAGGCAGTTGCTTAACCAACTGAGCCACCCAGGCGCCCGACCTTTTTTTTTTTTAAGATTTATTTATTTAGGGGCGCCTGGGTGGTTCAGTCACTAAGCATCTGCCTTCGGCTCAGGTTGTGATCCTAGGGTCCTGGGATTGAGCCCCAAGTCGGTCTCCCTGCTCTGCGGGAAGCCTGCCTCTCCCTCTCCTGCTCCCCCTGCTTGTGTTCCCTCTCTCGCTGTGTCTCTCTCTGTCAAATAAAGAAATAAAACCTTTTATGGGCACCTGGGTGGCTCAGTTGGTTGGGCGACTGCCTTCGGCTCAGGTCATGATCCCAGAGTCCCAGGATCGAGTCCCGCGTCGGGCTCCCTGCTCAGCAGGGAGTCTGTTTCTCCCTCTGACCCGCCCCCCTCTCATGCTCTCTATCTCATTCTCTCTCTCAAATAAATAAATAAAATAAAAAAATAACATTGCCTAATTGCAGAAAGATAGGAGCAATAAATTCATCATTAAAAAAAAAAAAGAAATAAAACCTTTTAAAAAAATGTATTTATTTATTTATTTTAGGGAGAGAGGGAGAGAGTGTGTGAGAGCGGAGGGAGGGGCAGAGGAAAAGGGAGAGGGAAAGAAGCAGAGCAGTGAGCCTGAATCAGGGCTCCATCCCAGGACCTGAGATCATGACCTGAGCTGAAATCAAGAGCCACCCAGGTGCCCCTGTCCTAGAAACCTTTTTGTTTCCTTAATAACACTTTGATAATTTGCAATTTTTGAGGTGCTTATTATATGTTCCATAGACTGTAAGCTCCAAAGAGGCAGAGACTGGCTTTGTTTTGTTCATCATTGTATCCCATGCAAAGATCACAGTTTAGCTACCTAGGAATCACTCAGTAAATCTTTGCTGAATGAATGAGTGCTCCCTGCCCCCAC